ATAGAAGGATGTGTGTACAAAGATGAGCAGGAGGGGGAGAGAGTGAGGAAGCAGGGGCAGAAGACATTGTATCTTTTTTTTTCATTTTATTACTATTGTTATTGTTATGTTAATCACTATACCTTACATCATTAGTTTTGGATGTAGCGTTCCATGATTCATTGTTTGTGCATAACACCCAGTGCTCCACGCAGAACGTGCCCTCTTTAATACCCATCACCAGGCTAACCCGTTCCCCCACACCCCTCCCCTCTAGAACCCTCAGGTTGTTTTTCAGAGCCCATCGTCTCTCATGGTTCGTCTCCCCCTCCGATTTCCCCCCCTTCATTCTTCCCTTCCTGCTATCTTCTTCTTCTTCTTTTTTTTTTCTTAACATATAATGTATTATTTGTTTCAGAGGTACAGGTCTGTGATTCAACAGTCTTGCACAATTCACAGCGCTCACCATAGCACATACCCTCCCCAATGTCTATCACCCAGCCGCCCCATCCCTCCCACCTCCCACCACTCCAGCAACCCTCAGTTTGTTTCCTGAGATTAAGAATTCCTCATATCAGTGAGGTCCTATGATACATGTCTTTCTCTGATTGACTTATTTCACTCAGCATAACACCCTCCAGTTCCATCCACATCGTTGCAAATGGCAAGATCTCAATCCTTTTGATGGCTGCATAATATTCCATTGTGTATATATACCACATAGAAGACATTGTATCTTAAGAGGAAGCCCAGGGTAGCATCTCAAGTGTCACCTCTGTCTCTGCTCACACACTGTCCTCTTTTCCAGAGCCCCTTCCCAAGGGCCTCCTCTGCTCCCACATTCGCTGGTATTCACCACAGCGTCTTGCTGCACATACAGCAATGTTCAAGAGCACTGGTTATACAGAGTTCACTTCATTTAAAGGAGAAGCATACGCCCATGTCTGCATAAAGGAGAAGCGCTCACATCAGTGGGGTTTCAAACTGGGGGGGAGGGGAGAGGTACTTATGAGTTTCCTGCTCTAGCAACAGCTCTTAGCGATGAGGACCCTTGCATCCCACAAAGACGGCATGACTTATCCAAGGTCACACAGTCTGGGGCTTAAGCCTGGGTTATAAGCAAGAATTCCCTTTTAAATAATACTATCACTGACCCTGAAAACAGCAACCATTATGGGGTGCTTGCAGTCTTCCAGACATGGTGCTGAATTATGAACATAATTATCTCATTGCATTCTCACCTCATCACGGGGAGGAAACCAAGCCTCCCAGGGGTCCACTAACTTGTCCACGGTCACACAGCTACCGAAGGGGAGTTGGGATCTGACCCAGGTGGTCGGGCTCCTGAGCTCAGACTCTTGCCTGCTATGTGATCTAGATTTGACACAGCATAGAGGTCTAGGCGGGAGGACACATGCTTAACATTCTCCTGGGGACCAGATGTTATCCTTGCCGGATCACCTTGACCTCAGTCTCTTGCTCTAATTGCAGATCCCAGGGAGAGGAAGAGCTGGTATTTGGAGCAGGTGAATGTTCACTAGGCATTGCTGATAATTAGTTTTCATTTGGAGCAGGGACTCTTGAATGGAGATCGTCCCTTCTAGATGATTGCTACGCTCTTTACGACTTTGAGGAGAAATTATATGAGTGTGACTTCCTTGACCCTAGTTAGGCAAAACTTGGTCACATGCTAGGTTTCCTGACCTCCAGATGAGAATCCTGAACCCACATAAAGTTGTTGAGCTGACAACTTCATGGGGTTGATGGTTCAGCTGGAGTCTCTTCATGGTTCACCTGATAATTTCCAACAGAATAAAATATGGACAGGTTCTGATTCCCCTTTCTTTTGTGATATTTCCTTGGGGAACTGATACATTTTTGCATGGGCCGTCTATACATGCTATCGGGAAGAGAAAGACATACATTCCCTTTCACGGAAATTAATAATGATAGCAGCTGCCAGTTTTAAGGACTCTGCCAGGAATAGATATGTGTACATATCTGTTCCTTTAATCTGCCCAACAGGCCAATGAGGTAGGAATCATAACACCGCTTTACAGATGAGGAAGTGAGACTCAGAAAGGGAAATTAATTTTCCCAAGGTCACACAGCTCCCAAGCCGCAGAGCCAGAGGCATACCGGATCTGTCGCACTCCAGAGTCCTCAGTCTTAAGCGCTGGGCTGTGCTTGCATTGGTCTTAGTGAACAGCCAGAAATAAGGGCCATATTGCTGTTCCTCAACTCTCTTAAAACCACAGTGACGTTATGGGTTTGTTTTTTTTTTTAGATTTTATTTATTTATTAGAGAGAGAGAGAGAGAGAGAGCACTGAGCTGGGAGGAGAGGGAGAAGCAGGTTCCCCTCGAGCAGGGAGCCCAACACAGGGCTCTATCTTAGGACGCTGGGATCATGACCCGAGCCGAAGGCAGCGCTTAACCAACTGAGCCACCCAGGCGCCCCTTTTGGATTGATTTTAAACTTAAGGTTCCAGAATGGTCGCATTTCCTCCATCGTATGGTTTGAGAAACAGGAAGAACCATGACTGGGGAACACTTTGAAGGTTGCTGATTTTTTTGGAGGGGGGTGGCAGATTGGAAACACAATCAAGTTTGAATGCAAATGGCACTCCCCTTGGTAGACCTGGGGGAGCCAGATGACATTAGCTTAAAATTTGCTTGTATGAACAGAGTATTTTCTTTGTTTCATACCAGCCTGGGTGCTATAGAATGTTTACCTCCTCCTCTGTAAGAGGAAGTCCACCTCGTTCACACCCCATCCCCAGCATTTAGTACAGGGCGTGGTACAGAGTAAGAGATCAATGAGGCTTTTTCCAAAAACTGAATGCAAATTTTTTCATTCACTAATATTAATATTTGCCCATGCACACACCTAGGAAGTAGCCACATGGAAGGATTCAAATGGCAGTTTATCCAGTTCCAACACCGTGTCCTTCCTGCTGTTGGTGCCTTTATGGGGCTTCCATTCTGACAACTAAAGGACACACTATGGGTCCTGTTCACACCCATTCTCAACCGCATGCTCCAAAACCCCTTCTGCTCTCCCCCTCTTCTCTCTGTCCCCCCCCTTTAGTCAAAACTCTCATTCATTTATCACTGTCTCTACTATGTGTTCATCTAATAATTATTGAGCACAGTAAACGCTAATCACTGATGATGGAAGACAAAAGATACCTGAGACCACTCCCCCATCCTTGCCATCAGGATATTCACAGGAGAGAAATGTAAAAATAATAAAAAGTGCTGTGACCAAACAAGTATAAAGTTACATCTCCTGGGGGTGGGGGCTGAGGAGGGTTTGGGCGGTGAGGTTCGTGCTGAGCCTGGTGAGACGTGGCAGGGAAAGAAAAGGAAAGGGTGTTCCAAGTTCAAGGAACAGCTTGAACTGAGTGTAATGTACCTGGCAAGGGGCAGCAATCAGAGCAGCCCAGAGTGCCAGGGTGAAGAGAGAGGGAGGAGGCAGGGAAGCAGGCAAAGGCCCTATTGTCGAGGCTCTGAAGGCCCTGCTCAGCCCAGTTCTCAGAAAAGGACAGACAAAGCATGTGCTTAGGGCACCAGCAAAAGAGGACATCTAAAAAGAAACAAGTTTTAATTTCAACATACCTTTGAGTTTTGTTGAAATTTCAAAATTATTTCAAAATATAGCTTTATTTCAAGTTGAAGCATTTTTTAAAATTTGGAATTACGTGTGGAGAACATCACTATCATTTTTTCAGTGTTTAGGGTCTCTTAAATGTCTCTCTCTGGCTCTGGCTCTGTTACAGGAACTGGACACCAGCCGACCTCAGCTTTGGAATAGGCAGGATTGAGTTGAGGCAGTTTGCAAAATTGCTTTGTGAATAACCTGTAACAGCACCCCTTAACCTACTCAGGGGTACTAGCAGTGTATGATGTTAGGTGTTTGTCCAAAGGACCTCTCACTGGTGGCATTTCAGGAACTGTGACAAAGAAAGCATGATAGGGAGGGTCTCTTTCCATAGTTCTAGAATTAGGAATCAGGGCGCCTGGTGAAATGTCAAGGACTCTACTTTCCAAAGAGAAGTCAAGTCAACCCTCTCCCCAGAGCTATAAGAATCTACAAACTGGTCCTGTCATTCCCAAGCAGCCCAGCCATCCTTATCTCATGTGCAATAAGACATCTTATGGGACACGATGCTCTTGGCCAGAAGTTACACGTGCCTTCCTCTGCCCCCACTGCCACTGGGGAGGGAGGGAGGGCGTCTTCCTCCAAAAAACCAAGGCGGGTATTTCAGAAAATCACTCGTCTAGCTTAGGAGTGCTTACAAGAAGGCGGAAATGAAATCTCACTCCCCAGCTTGTTGGTTACTGCCGCCACCCTGCCCCCGCCCTCCCACCCCAGTGCTGCCTGATGAGGGACATCCTAGAAGAGCCTAACATGTATGTTGAGAGTTAGGGTTCTCAGAAAAGAAGGTGAACAAGATGAAGTGAAACTCTATGCCACAAAAGGACATATATCATATAGGCAAAGACCGCCACAACCGCTTAAATCAGACCAAGCCAGGAGACTAAGGGGGCCTCATTCCCAGCAGCAGGTGACCTAGGAGCAGCCCTGTCAGCTCTCCTGACTCTCCCTGTCCTCACACCAGAGACCCTAGGGACCAGAGCAGGGCAGGGAGAAGTGAGACAGGGGGCTGCACCCCGGCTAACACCCAGTTCCTAGATTGTAATTTCTATAAGGATGTATTCGTGCCGAGCATGCGCCTGGCCCAGAGGAGGCATTTACTTGGGTTGAAAAAGGAATGTGTGGATAAAGTATGTAATAAAAGTTAGTGCTTACCCCAACCCCACTCCACCCCTTTCTCTGCCACTCACGGCTTTCCTGCTTTAGTCACGGCTTTCCTGCTTTAGGAGACTCATTACTCATCTGCCCTTGGAGGGTGTTCCTTCAGCTCAGACTGGCTTGGGCAACAGCAAGGCCTTCCTCAGGAGACCTATCGGTATGAGTTCTTCAAGAAGGAGTTTCTGGGCAGGGCTTAGGCTCTCACGTGCCTAGTCCCACCCCTGGCCTTGCATTCTAGGTCAGTGGGCGGAAGAGCATAAATTGCAGCTGTTCCCAGCCTTGCTGCATTTTTCCCGAAGACTTCCAACAGCAGCATGAAGTTGGGGGGCTTTCTCCTTCTGGTAATGCTCATCACCCTCAGCTCGGAGGTTCAGGAGCTCCAGGCTGCAGTGAGACCATTGCAACTTCTGGGTAAGTCCGGGCAGAAGGCAGCCCGTTCTCTGCATGAGGGAGCTGAAAAGTGGGCCAGCAGAGACTGCTGTGCTCTGGGGGGGGTGGGGGGGGTGGGGGGGAGGTGAGAAGGAAAGATCCTCTAGTCCAGGAGCCACCTTGACTGCCGCACCTCTCTCCTTCTGCATCCACTCTTCCCCTCTTCCTTTCTTTGGGTCTTCCCTTCAACTGGACTCTCCACTCTTCCCTTTGGCTTCCCCATGAGCCACCCGCCATCTTCCCCAGCATCTCTCTCCCCCATGGGTTTCTTGGTCTCTTGTTACAAATAGATAAGATCATAAGAGAACATATTTTCTTAATTGTGTTATGTGGGAGTCATCTTAATCTCTGCTTTTCCTTCTACCACCACCATTCTCAAAGTAGCAGTCTTAACTCTCTGCCCTAACTTCCTCCCAACTCATTCCTTTGCCTCCTGAGGATTATTGCCATAACTGTCCCCATCAGTCTCCAGAAACTTTGCTCCCAGGATCAGCTGATAAATATCTTGGCTCTCCTCAGCAGCAAGTCTGTAACCTCTGCAACACCCGACATGGTTAGCCACTCTATCAATCCTCAAACTTTCTCCTCTCCTGGATGATCATCACTGGAGCTCCTACTTCTCCCTAAAGATTCTTGGATTCAACTCTTCCTCCCCTCTCTTCTTTGCTGTCCTCCGCCCGCATTTAAACCTGTTGCCAAATACCGTCCATTCTTTGAAATTGTCTCTTGCGTGTGCTCCTTCCTTTCCACTCCCCATTGCCACATTGGCCCGTCTGGCCCTGATTACCCCGTACTTGGGCCAGTGTGGTGTGGTTTCCTGACAGCACTTCCTGACCCTCGATTGCTTCTGAGGTTTGCTTGCTCACTGAATCCTGGTCCACTCTATGCCCTCATGCCAGAATAATCTTCTTAAGTGAACTGCAGTCATATCCCTCCCTTGGCCTACCAAGTGAAACCCAAACTCCTCAGGTCCTCAAGGTCTGGCCCCTGTAACTTTACCCCCCACCTACTTTTCCTGCCTGACTCCCAACTGCCCCTTATACTTATCCAGCCTTGCATTTATTTGACAGTCCTCCTGTATTCCTTGTATTTCAGGCTAAGGAGTGAGGAGATGAGGCACCCAGGGTGCCATATTTAAGGGGGTGCTCACTCTTAGGGGTGTGCAAGTGCCTCCTTAAACTTTGTGCCGCAGGTGCCTTGCATGCCTCTTCCTACTCGAGGCCCGGTTACATTTCCCCTTGTGAACTTTTGTTAGTAATTTTTTTCTCTTCTGCAAAACTCTACCACCACCACCCCTCAATTCTGCCTTAAAAAGATTCCTGTACTTCAAGACCCTCCTTTTTTTGGTTAATCTAATTGGAAGTAATGTTCTCTCTCTTCTGAGCCCCTTTTCCTTTGGATATACCTCTTCTCAGGACACTTGTCACATACTGCCTTATTTTTCGTACTTTAAACACGTCTTATCTCCACTGTTAGACTCTATGCTGCTTTAAGGTAATGACCCTTGTATCTTTATATTTTCTCAATAACTTAGCCCTATGCTTTGTACCTAGTAAGAAATCAACAGATTTACTGAATGACCAAACTGCTGTGAGTGGAGACAAAGTCTTCAACCTTCTCACCATTAGTCAACAACAGCAAATCGTGTTGACTTTCTCTGAGGTCTGCAAGTATATTGTAGACATCCCCCCAGGCCCATTCTTAGAGTCTCACATTGCTAGTCATCACAGCATTTTTTCCTTCTGAGCCTGGACAAGGTGTCCCAGCCCCTTCAACACAGCATCAGATAGTCATCTCTATGGATCAGAATTGACACTGGAGAATGAACTTCATTTTCCCTGCTAGATCCAAGAGCTCCATTTTACGTATGAGGAAAACAAAGGCCCAGAAAGTCCAGACATGGAATCAGGTAGAGAAACTCGTGGTAACAGCTGAGTAGAAGCAAAAGCACAGCACAACAGAAGCATAGCACACATTGGTCCAGAGCTCTGCCTACATTTAACTAGAAGCTCCTGTGGGGTCTTAACCAGCTTCTTGGACCTACTTCCTTGGTTCTCAAAGACTAACTTTGAGCCTCTGGGAACCTGGGGGGCCTCCACCCAGACCAGGAGTGACTCCTTGAAATTTGGAGATGTGTTCTTCGTGTCAGGGTCTGTTTCATCATGTGGGACGGCAGAGGGAGCTTGGCCTAGGGGCCAGGCAGGTCTCGGTTGAATTCCACTTCTGTACCTACTAGTGGGCAGTTCACCTCTGTGCACCCCAGCTGCCATGCCTATAAGATGAGACCAGTCAGACTCACCTCGCAGGGTGAGTGCAAGGCACTCTTGATGGCATTTGGTAGATATGAGTCTCCCCTTTTCTGCCCCTTTCCCTGCAAAGTAGGGAAGTGAGGACATTTGAGTGGGCTTCTTTGCACTTTGCTTCTGCATACACAGTTATGCTCTTCTTTAAAGTAGGCCTTACTTTATTGTGATTATGTGAATTCATTGTTTTTAACTGAAATATATAAGATGTTAATGAGTATTGTTCTGTGAGTAATCATTTACAAATTCCCTTATTCACTGAACTGAAAGACAGAAGTGGAATGGGTTCTTTTAATCAGTCAAGGGCTCTCCTCTCTGATACCTGTGCTTAAAGCAGGGTGGTTTTTCAGCTGGTCTGTTCTAACATAGGCACCTGCATTGAGCTCTGCAATGATGACTGGGATTGTGATCCAGGAGAGCACTGCGTCAGCAATGGGTGTGGCCACACCTGTGCTGCAGCCTAGGGACAGGTAAAAACATCAGGTCCTTCCCTGCTTCCTCAAAACTTGTCTGAGCTGGCTGGCGGGCTGGCTCGGATGGGACTTTCCAGAAGCGGGTGCGGTAGAAACCTGTCTCTCTGTGGCCTTTCCCTCTTCACACCCTTTCCAAGAAAAGGAAGCATCTATCACAGGATGCTGGCTTCCAAACCTTTAAAATAATCTCATTACCCAGTATATCCAGGAGAGAAATTAGACTATTTATTTGAACAAAAAGAACATAAAAATCAGTCACATTACCCCCCCCATCCCCAAATGATACTTGCTTAATACTTTGGTGCATATTTTAAACACACATGCAAATACATAATATACATATTGAAATGAGATAATATTGTGTCTATTTTGATTTCTTAATTATTTCACTTAGAAATAGCTAGTGAACAACTTTTAACAACACCAATCTTTTTATTTTTTTCTTTAAATTTTTTATTGTTATGTTAATCACCATACATTACATCATTAGTTTTTGATGTAGTGTTTCATGATTCATTGTTTGTGCATAACACCCAGCAACACCAATCTTCTATACCATCACCTTTAACAGTCTTACAGAAGTCCATCATATATGCTCACATACTTAGAAACCCCCATTAATACACATTTGTTGATGGTTTATTGTATTAATATAGTTATAATGAATACTAAATTTGTGCATACACCCTTATTAATTTCCTTGGGATAAATTCTAAGAATTATAATTTATGACCATTTTCAGGCTCTGATTCATACTGCCAGATTGACCTATGAGAACCCTTTTTCTGGAGAAATATTTCAGGGTCCTCACATAATAGTTCCTTTATTTTCAGTAGCTATCAAATGAAAAAAAATGCATAATGAAAAGCTACCATGATTCAGCCTTAATTACAAACTAAGCTGTATTTATTAATTAATATAATAACTAACACAATAGAATCAACATAAACTTTAAAAGTAACCCATTTGTGTTCAGAAGGTACTATCTGTCCAATCCACCCACAGTCCTTGGGATGCCTCTGGCCTTGCTGACTCTTTGTAGGTGCTTGTTGATTCCCAGAACTGAGAACTGTCACCTCTCAATTGCATTCTGTGATTCCAGGTCCCCAAAACAGCAGGTCTCATGTATAATTTTTTGGTCCATTTTTCAGATGAAGACTTATCTTGAGGATCATCCTTCTCTAATAATTTTTCATCACTTCCTATCTTCAAAGATATGACTGGAACTCCTTGACCAGGAAGACAGATGAAAATGGGGGCCTGTGGGTAGAGATTACAAGAGATGTGGTGGGGAAGGAAAAAAGAGTCCTTTCTTTTAATAAATCATCATTGTTAGAAGTACCCACACTGTTTGAGTTCTTTGGTTAAAGGTGATGATGAGGTGGAGGACGGGGTGGAAGACAGATGACATTTGTTGAGCACTTGGTATGCAACTCTGTTATATTCTCCACAAGCATCATCTAATTTATCCTTACAATCACCTTGTGACTATGCTTATTATCAATACCATTTTATATATAAGGATGCTGAGGTTTGGAGAGATTAAGTAATTTGCTCAAAATCATATGGCAGGTAAGTGTCAGGGCCTTACCTCTAATCCCATGTCCAAATCCAGGGCCTATGCATTATAGCATAGTAGTTAGGAACTCTGATTCTGAATTTTAGACCCAGGCCCGCCACATTACTGTGTGACCTTTAGCATGTGTCCTAACCTTCCTGTGCTTCAGGTTTCAGATTTGTATAACAACGTATGCCTCATAGAGCTACAAGGACAAAAGCAGTTCATTATGTTAACTACAGTTGTTATGATTATCAAATAGATGGGCCGATGGCGCTTAGTGATGATTTTGTAGGGCTCTAGAATGGAAGCCTAAGACAATCCTCCTTCCTAGCCTATTGTAGTTCATCTGGATCCTGAAAGCCAGCCCCTCTCTTCTGGTTTTCCCCATTACAAAACATGGGAGGTAAAAATAGACTTACATTTCTTTTCTATGTTCTTCATAATCGCAACTGGCCTGGGTTGTGGTCTGATTTCGGCCAATTTACTGCCTGTGTGGCCCTTGACAAACCATTTAAACCCTTTAAGTTGTCTTTCTTTAAGCCATTAAGCTTTTTTTATCTGTAAAAAGGGGGAAATAACAGTATCTACCTCATTTGGATGCCAAGATTTATAGAACTTTATGAAGTATTTTCACAGAGATCCCATTTGATTTTCACATCAACCAACAGATGGGAAATAGGAGGCTCTGAATAAACAGTGAATTTATTTATCCTGCCAGCAAGTATTGGGAGGTGTCTACCATGACTCAGGTGCTGTGCTAGCGTTAGGGATACAATAGTGAACCAGACAGACAGGATGTGTGCCTTCACAAAGCTCACATACTAGAGGAAGAAACAGATAATATACAATAAAGAAGGTAACTACACATTATGGTAAGTGTTCTGAAGGAAATAAACAAGGATGTGAAGTAGAAGAGGAAGGGGAGTAAAGCCTACTTCAGTTAGAATGATCCAGACTCTAATTAGGTGATTAAAGTAAAGTCTTGACTGAGTTCCAAAATATGAAAAAGGTGATATTCCAGAGTAAGGCTCCAGATCACCTTATGCAGAATTCATGAAGGGAAATGGCTGTGAACATGCTTAGCATCTTTAAGGCCCCACGGTCAGTGCAGGATTAAAAAATACTGAGAGTGAGGAGGAGTAAGGATGTGTGAGGAGATTTTCTTGGGAGAACTTTTGCCAAGGTATAAGTTCCACAGTTTGGGGGTTATCGTCTAAACACAAGCCAATGAAGGGGGCCCTCAAGGCCTCCCTGAGAGCTTGATGTATGTTTTCTTCAGTTGGTGATAACCAAAGGATAGGAATGTTCATTTCCTTGTAGAAACCACACTGCCATCTGCAAGGGTACATTCCATCAGAACTCAACAGACCGGTATCAGTACACTTTACAATATCTGGGTCATTCAGTTCTGAATAACAGTATGTGTGGGCCATCCATGTTACAACCTAAGATGAGCCACACTGAACCCAGATCCTTTCCACAGTCTATATCACACCACCTCCACTGCGGTGAAGACCAGGCCTCACATCCTTCTAGCCCCGTGTGTTGGATATCTCTTGTGCACTGCTTCAAACACTCTTGGCCTTACACTCTTATTTTAATCATCGCTATGGCAACCAGTTTCTGTCAGGCATCTACTAGTTTAGCTCAAGGTAACTTGTCAGAGACTTGCCTTGGACTTGTACCCTAGTACCCTACACCTCTCACTTTTGCCTCAGGGCTTCTTTGTACAAGAAACTCCTGCAGGAACCACCACCCACTGATGCATGCTCATATGAGAAACAGTGGAGAATTGATGCTTGGTGGGGTAATGCTTGACAACAGAATTCAAAGGCTGACAGTTACATGCTTCCATCTCCCATTCCTCAGGAGCAGGTGCTGAGGACATTCCAGAAGGCATCTCAGAAAATCTTAAGGATTGAGCAATCACTCACCCTTTGCAATGGCCAATTCAATAGTACATATGTGTACTGACTCTCCTTTCTTCCCTGTTCATTCTTGAATAAATCACTAATATATCAACCTCACCTAACGCTCTGCTTTGGGAGAAATCAGATTAACACTTCCATGACTAGGTCTCAGCTCCTGATCTTCCCTGAGCAAATGCTTGAATATCACAAATACATACACATACATAACATGCACATACATCCCAAAAATAAGCAATAATATGACATCTAAATTCAAACAAAAAATTAGTATTTCTCCCCAACGCCCAAAGTCTTCAGAAAACAAGCTTTTCTAAAGCATACCCCCAGTTGTTATTGCTAAACACAAGTGTTTTAGTCTCAGGATAAAACATGTACCTTCAGGTGACTTCAAGGTTTTCCCTAAGAATCACTGATAAGAATCTGCTTTATATTTGCATAATTCAAAAGCCCAAGAGATGACCAAATGTAAATTTCATGCCTTCACCTCTTGGGTGACTAAAAACGGTTTACGGCCTTTAAAATGGCTATTTTCTTTTCCAGCTTCTTGCTTTTAAGGCTACAGGAAATCTTGGGGTGTCCAATCTCAACCAGGTCACCCTTAGGCAGGTTATATTTTACATGGCTCAGTTTGAACTTCCAAATTACTTTTCTCGTGCAATGAAGCGCAAGATTCACAGGAAGATGCACAGCCAGCAGCAAGGAATACTGCGAATTATACCCTCCATTTACAGGGTGGTTTTGCGCCTGGGTAAGAATCAAGGGCTCTCACACGATGTAAGAAGAGTCCAAAGATGTCCTAGAACTAGCTAGCGGTTTCTGCCACTGCCACCACCAACAGCTCCTCTCCAAATCCAGCCCGCGTGAAACGCTAGTACTAAAGAGCCATGTCAGCCTTGTCCAGGAACACACTTTCTAGGAGGACATAAAGAGTCCCACTTTTCAGTCAGTACTCAAACACAAATGTAAGGTAAAAAACCCTCCAAGCTAATTTCTGACAAATATTCGCAAAGCAGGCAGAGGAGGGTCCAGGATCTCACTCGGCTTCGGGTCTAAAGAAGTATTTCCGGAACTGGCGCGCGGAGCCGGGAATACCCCGGAAGTATTTCCCTGTTGTCCTACGTAGGGAAGATGGCGGCGGTACAAATCGGCGGCTCGCCCAAAAGCGAGCCGGCGCGGGAGGTGCGACCGAACCAGAGCAGTGGATTTCGCTGCTTGTCCGCCAGGCTCTGCGCCCTGCGCCCGGATGACAGCAGCTCCGCCCGGACCGAGATCCACCTGCTCTTCGACCAGCTCATCTCTGAGAACTACAGTGAGGGCGGCGGCGTGGCTCCGGAGGTAGGCGGCGTGCCGGGTGGGGAGGACTCGGGCCGCGCCTCCTGGCCCCGCCCTCGCCCTCAGGGACCCTAGCGGGTAGCTCCCGCCTGCCCCGCCCGGCTTTTCCCAGCCCCGCTTCGCGTTACTTAGTTCTAGGCTCGCTGGCTCCCTCCGACCGTGACAGTCTCTGCCCTCCTCTATCTGGAAGATCCTGCAGTGCTTGGCAAACTCGCATCTTTAAAACCCCATTGATGACTTCTGCTCTGATAACACCGCAGGTGTCATCTCTGGTCCCACCTTCCCGTCCCCCAGCTCCACTCCCTGCATACAAAACACTTTGTATATAAAATTCACTTCTACCATTTATCGAATACAGAGCACCCAGACCATGTACTGTAATTTACGGTGTACGGTTCTAGGAATCTTACAACGTGGGTATTATTAGATCTACTTTACTGATAAAAATACTGTGGCACATAAGGATCCAATGTCCTATTGCTGGCAAAAGGCAGAGGTAGAATTGGAGCCTAAGGCTGCCACATGCTCCCTGCCATTTTCTGTTCTTTCGTGCTAGCACTTCCCTCTCTATACCTCCTGTTTAGAAGTACTCGGACACTGAGTAATAATAATATTCACACACATCAGGCCTTGGATACTACTTACTGAACTCCCAGAACTCTTGACCCAGTCATACCCCTGCCTCTGGTGCTCACAGGCACCTCAAACTGGACAGTTCCTAAAAATGAAGTTACATTATCTCTGTAGACACACTATATCCACAACCCATCCCATCCCCCAACTCACAGAAACATGCCCAGTCTGCCAAGTCACACTGGCACAAACACTGGTGTTTTCCCTTTTTCTCCCAGATCTATCCACTTGGGATTCTTCAGATTCCATCTCATAAATATTTCTCATTCCCTTTTCTGTGTTCCCACTGCCAATGCCTTAAGCCCTCAGGCAAGATGACGTTCCTGAACTCTTCCACTGGTCTCCTCAAACTTCTCTTCTGCCTCCTGTCTAGCTCTTCTCCAAACCATTCTTTGTCCTGCTACTAGAGTGATCTTTTCTTTTGTGAGAATAAAACCTGATTAGAAAGGCAAAACTCTGATTTGGGAAGATCTTTAATACATATTGGTAGATGATCAGAGCAAGTTACAGAATGGTTCATTGCAGTACGACACCAATATAAGGGTGAGGAGTGCGTTTAACAGAATATGTACACTTATAGATGTAAAGAGTTCACAACAACGAATGGAAAAGTTTACAACAAAATAATAATGTGTGTCACTAGGGATTGGAGTGGAATTAAGGGTTTACTTGGGAACTTTTGCTTTATTGGTACAATTTGATATTTTTCCATCAAAAATATGTGCCTTTCGAGTCTCCTGTCACTTCTCCTTTTGTGCTCTGTGTGCAGTCATTTAAAACCTGCTGTCCCTCAAGCATCTACTAGTGTTTCACTCCTACTGGTATTCCAGGTCTTTGCACACTCTATTCCCATCCATTGCTTGCTGTGTCTTTCATTGCTTTGT